GTGGTGATTTCCAAGATTGCAGTAGAGCATGGCACTGAGTGGATTCCGTGTACTTTGATGGCTCCAGATCTCAATTTGAGTCTCATTCCCTTCATTCATCTTCAGAGACATAGGATGTTCACTGGCTGTGAAACTTCATGCCAATTCCCTGAAGTCTCTGAATGCCAGTCTACTTGCACTTGAAAAATTGAGGAAATTAAAGGCTATTCTTGAGGTTATTAATATATATATATATACATATATATATATATATATGTCCAGAAACAAAATTAGTGTTCAACAAATTTGAGCTATTTTGTGCTATTATTTTTACCATTATTATACTGTCCCTAGAAGGTACTAGGCTAAGAGGTCTTACCTAAAATGAACAGTAAACTTGCTCACAGAGCTTCCTATGCTATTCCTATGCTAGTGTGGTTCATTCTAATGGCCACAGGCAGGGGAGACCTGTAGTTCCTGGTCATGCCTCAGTTGCATACATAAGGGCTAAAAGAGGGTGAGTCCCAGGCTCCTGGTAGACACAGAAAATGTTCTCACCCAGCAAGCAAAGACCAATGGTCCTCCACCAGAAAGAGAAAACTAGGGTGTTGTGAAGAGGAAAATGGAGAGGGGAAAGGAGTGGAGGGGAACGGATAGGAAGGAAGGGAAGAAAGGGAGGCAGTAGAAAAGAAGGGAGGAAGGAAAAATGAAAGAAGAGAAAAGTTTCAGCAGGACTGAACTCAAAAGCTCCAGGAGTTGCCAATCCAAACCAGAGTCCCCGAGCGACCGGGGCCTGGTAGAAAAGTGCAGACTCAGACTAGGAGGGGGGTACAGAGGCAGGGGGATGCTCTGGGGAGGAACACAAGGTTGTTGACAATTTAGGGCAGACCAAACTAAGCAGAGCAAATAGAGAATGATCTCTGGAATCTTGCAGTCACCTCCATCTTGCAAGAATACGGAAGTGACTGAGCTAAATGTTAGTTTCTCTTCTGTAAAACCGAAACGGCAGCGCCCACCTCAGTGAGTCATGCCAACGCACAACGCCAAATCCTTAGAAAACGCAGAGCAATCGATGTGTTCTTCAGGCATGAGCCTTTGAGAAGTAGGCAATAAAGGGTAATAAAACAAGAAAAATGAAGACACGGATAAAGGAATAAATAGGAAAAGAAGCGTTCATAGGAGGTAGAAGCTTTATTATGACGTCTTCGGAGGACAATCAAATCAGTAAACCTTATTTGAACACTGCTGTACACAAGTCCCTGCCCGTAGCATGGTCTGAGATCCCACCCCTGACTAGCGTATTCCCTGGGGAGAAAATCAGCATGAGGGGACAGGGCTGAGAACAGGGTGAAGTTTCTGAACATCCAAGTGTTAGAGGGACCGAACTCCTAGATCGGTCCTACCTATTACTACTATGGAAGACAGGGTGGGAGCAGCAGAGGGAGGGGCCACTATAGGATGCCAGCTACTAGGACGCGGTTCTGTGGGCTCTCAGCAGCCACCGCAGCAGCCAGAGCTCTGGTTGTTGCATGAGCGTTGGGACCTTTGGCTTCCTCCGCAGCAGCAGCAACCGCTAGTGCGCTGCCGGCGGCGCCTCCTGGGAAAGCAGCAGCAGCCGGTGGAACTGGAGCCACAGCAGCCAGAGTCACCGCAGCCACCGCCCCCGCAGCAGCCACGGCCACAACAGGAGGAAGAGGAGGGCGCGGGGGCGGGAGTCGGGGCGGGGCAGGGGGCGGAGCCCTGGGAAGACCCTTTGGAAAAGCCTTTGGCGCCCTGCTGAGACATCTCGGCGTTTGTCAAGGCGAATCTGAAAGAAAGATAATCTTTCAAAAACTCCCGCCTTTTCTTTCCAATAAAAGAAGTCAGAATTTTTGACTTAAAGACAATTCATTCTGGCTTGGGGCAAGAGGGTTGAGAGAATGAAAAGAAGGGAATCAATGAAACAAACTCCTAACAGGTGCAACACCGGAAACAGAATATGCAAAGAATCAAAGCAGTTCCCCTAACTGGCATAAGGCCCATCCGAGGTCTCCACGGGAAAATAAAGAGGATATGGCTGCAGTGTGTCTGCATGAATCAATCAAAAATCTTCTAGCTCTCGCCCTTTCCCCAGTTGTACGTGAACCACACAGCTTTCCAAGGGTGATCTCCATTAATGATGTATACCTATTGCATCCGTCAGAAAACACTCAAATACCACCTGTATTATCATCCCCTGTTCGATATACAGACTCTGAAAACACAAAATTATGGCCTGCACATTCTCTCTTGCCTGTTGCCTGCATTATAAGGAAAAGGCAAGTCATGGCAGAGAAGAAGAATAACATGGCCAGGGAACCTAGAGACCTGGGTCTCTAGTCACAGCTCCTTTACAAACTGGAGAACAGCTCCATGCCAGGCCTTTTCATCTTCATAGGCAACACAAAAGGCTGTACCACAAGAAGCTCGATTCCAGAGCTGTCTTCCCACAGCTATGTTCTGGCTGTTTCCTACCTCCTTCCTTCGTCTCCCACTCTTCCCAGCTCTCCTCCCCACCCCCCCCCCCCACACACACCTTGCTTGGATACTTACTAGACCTTGGCTCCACAGGAAGGCTCACTCAGTTTTCCAACTGGAACTTGCCACAAGCTAGGCAGAAGACTGAACAGTGTATGGCCAGAGAACCTTTTATAAGATTCCTAAATGCTGGGTCCTTGGGAGGGACCTGTTTCTCAACAGAGATGCTCAGCTGACACTTACATCCCAGAGGCATTCATCACTCAGACAGCACTGTAGGTGGTGCACGTGGACGTCCAAGTCACTTCACAGAGGTGCCAGGATTGCTGCTGTGTGTTTACTTTCCAAACATGACATTGTTCATAGCTGGGAGGGCTGTGTGTATGCTCAGAGGAGGCCTAAGGCTCAAATGAAGAGAGGTCTAGGGTCCTTTCTGCTCTAAGCACCACACACACACACACACACACACACACACACACACACACACACACGTGCACGCACACACGCGCACACCGCCAGGGGAAGAGAACACATGCACCATTCCACTTTCTCACACAAGATTCATGTGTAGCATCTCCTTATCATTTATTGTCTTATTTGCATCTCTATAGTCTTTTGTTCTTGTCTTGCAGGGCAGGTTACAGGCTATGTGATAAACTCTGGGTTTGTCTAGGCACTTCTAGAGATAGTTGAATGAAGATGATCGTGGGGATGGAATGCCAGTGGTGGTTTCTTCCTGTCACTGTTGACAAGAAGAGAAACCCAGGCAAAGTTAAGGGACCATTAAGACCAAAAGAAGTCACTTTATCATGCAACCCTGGTGGATCTCAGATTAAAAATGGTTGAGGGGTGTATGCCTATTGAAAAACAAAGTCAGCCCATGGACCTCCTATTGCTCATCTCATCTCCCTTAAGGAATGATTTTCCATGGGATTATTGTCAAAAAGGGGGAAGGAGGGTAAAAGAGCAAAGAAGGAAGGAGAATAAAAGAGCAGATGGCCCAAAAGTTCCATAGGTAATAGTTGCTTCTGGTTAGCTGATTTTTAAAACTGGAGGAAACTTTAGAGGTCAAGCCTCCAAACTGTTTTTCAATCATTACAACTACATGGCCATAACAACCATGAGGATGAGACATAAGAGAATCTAAGATTAAGATTCAGGGGTTAAGAGTGAGAGACAGGCTTTGGGATGCATGTGCTGGGTGTGGCATGAGGAAACAGACAAGGAAAGACAAGTCATAGACGATCCGTTTCATTTACCGTGGCTTTAGAGCCTGATTAACAGGTCGCCGACTGTACCTAGAGTGCCTCCTGGCAAGGAGAGGTAAGGCATTCCAAAAAATGAGATCAATGTTAGAAAAGGGAAGGAAGTTGAAGTAATAATGTAGATGCAAGTTGCAGGTTCTCCTCTAGAAAACTATACAAAAGGTGAAAGAAAAACAGAGTGATAGGAATCAACACAAAGAGAGATCAAGTATATACTGACTGAATGGACCTCTTACATCACTGTTAACTCTTCTCAGAGGAGAGGGTACCCGCTTATCTTGTTTAAGAAAGTTGACTTGAAATTATCTCTTCAATCAGAAACATTTCTTTTCTTTTCTTTTCTTTTAGGATCCTCCTGAAGAAACCATCCCAATCTCAAAGGAATAGTACATCAACACCCAAGCTCAGTGGCTAAAGTACCCTTGACTCCATGGCACACACATGTATACACACACACACACACACACACACACACACACACACACCGCTGCCACCACCACTATGTGGAGATAATCTTTGGCTGAGATGACACATTTGTACTCTATTAATACCCAAACCTAAAATTCTAGAGTTCACGAAAACATTTCACATATGTCTCCTGAGCTAACACCTCTAGAAATGCTGCCCACTCCAATCTCGTCTGTCCACTGACAATAATCAGAAAGCAGTGTGTCTACTCCCTAGAGCCCACAGTGAACACTTCAGGCAATGCTATTCTCTGTGATTGGGAGGTAAACTTTCCCAAATGGCAGTTCATTTTTGAAGGACACCCTCTCAGAATAGAACTTTCATGGATACTGCTGGCCTCATCTCATCCCACGCCCATTGTTCCTTCTGCAAACTGGTAATGTCTCAGACATGATTCTTATTTTCAAGCTTGAAGTTCCCAAAATCAAAGCACTAAGTGAAAGTTGTTACCCAGAGTTTTTAAATATGCACTTTAGATAAAGAAAGGGAATATGGCTTGATGTGGAGGGTGGGGATGGAAAGGCTAAAAAAAACACTATTGGGAAGCCATGACATCAGGAATCAAAAGCTTTATTGTTACCCAGAAAAGAACTTCAGATTCCAATTTTCAACATCTCATCCCCAGACAGATGTGTCTGAGAGAAAAAGCAAAGCCAATGAATCTCAGAGGTGAGACCTCAAGACCTCATGGTAGATGGAAAAAGGGCACACAGAGAGTTACAGAAGTGTTTCTTCAGGAAAGAAAGCCAGAGAAAAGGAGACACTGGCTGTCAGGTCTCCCTTCCATCAGGTCAGCTAAGCTCTCCATGGTCTTCTTCCCCAGATTAGCAGCAACCTCCAGAGCAGCAGCCAGAGCCCGAAGACTGCTGGCTGCTGCTGCTACTGCTGCTGCCACCGCCACTACTGCCACAGTAGCTGCCACTGCTGCTGCTGCCACCGCTGCTGCCGCCACCGCAGCTGCTGCCCCCACTGCTGCCGCCGCTGCTACCACAGCTACTTCCACAGCAGCTGCTGCTTCCAATGCTGCCACAGCAGCTGCCGCCGCCACCGCAGCTGCTGCCCCCACTGCTGCCGCCGCAGCTGCTGCCACCACTGCTGCCACAGCAGCTGCTGCCACAGCAGCTGCTGCCACCGCTGCCACCACTGCTACAGCAACCAGAGCTGTGACGTCGGCGACGGAGAGAGAATCGGGGCTTGTGGTGGCTCAGACAGCAGCTGCCACCCCCAGAGCTGCAACATCCCCCGGAGCTGGAGCCACAGCAGGAAGAAACAGGCGGGCACTTGGGAGTTTTGCACTTGGGAGGAGGAGGCGGGCACTGTTGCTGGCTCTGCTGGCAGGACATCTTAAAAGGAACTGGGTAAAACTGAAAGACAATGCAGGAATTTTATGTTCAATAATCCCAACGCTGGTTTGGAGACTCAGTTATGCATTCACAATATTTTACCTCTACGATGATTAGACCTTTTAAAACCCAATCTTCTACATTTACTCCCAAAATAAAAAATACAAAGATCCTGATATAAGCACATAATCCTTTCAAGTGAATTCATTGTAAGGTCAAAAAGTTTCTAATCACAGTCTTCCATTGCCTTCCCTTTCAGACGGACCCTTTCCTCCAAACCCTCCTCCCTTATCCATTGCCAAGATTGCCCTCAGCTTGACCCAGAGACCCTTTCAGCCCAGAAAACCAGCACCAGAGTCTCTCTGGCCTGGGAGATTTTCTACCTCGCACAGGCACTGGAACAGATTACTCAGGAAGTAGTGGACTGAGGTGCTGTGAGAAGCTTCTGCCTTTTATATAGTTCTGCTCTGACCTGAGATCCTCATGTGTGGGATACTGATAGCATCTTTCATGAGGGTTGTGGATGACTACTTCCCCTTACATCCCAAGGACCCAATTCCTCCCTCTTTAAGCATCTGAGGTATTAATGCACAGAAAGGGCCTCTGAGAATTGCAAACCTGTAGGATGGTGATAGAACATTGCACACTACATACAGCACCTATCTGTCAATTTCACAAGCAGCTCTGCTATGTTCCCCATTTCCTGCACTAAGCCAACCCAATTCTAGACCTCAGAGGGCAAGTATATGGTCTTTGTATTCTTTAGAATAGGAAATGGAGGGCGACATTCCCAAAATGGGGATTAAATGGTGCTTTCAGAATAAGAACAGAAATCCAAAATAAAAACCCTGGCCCTAGCCAATGAACTAACATGGCTGTTTTCGTTCTTAGATGGTGCCATGACCTAGACCAAAAATGCTGGATATTCTGATGATGCTATTTCAGGCAGGTCTGCTACAGATGATGTAGGTAGTTGGGATTCTCTCCTTGTCAGAATTTGACATACCAAAAAAGTCCACGAGCATTTGCAATGACAGATCCCTTCAAGTGGGCAGAAGTTGTTGAAGGCCTTGTTCCCAGGAATGGTCCTAAAGAATACACCCCAGGCTGACCAGAGGTAGAGGGACCAGGTGTATACAGAGGGTGAAGCCAGCAGACAAAAATTAGCTGAGTTGCCAACAGTGGACCTTCAGCTATGGTCATCCCAAAGGGAAAAGCTGAGAAATCCCTTTTTTCATAAATGAACTTAGATGGCGAGGTTGGTGAGGGAGGCTAACAAATTGTGCAAAACCTATAGTGGAATACAAAACTTACTTTCCCTACAAAGAATGTTTCACGGGTAGGGTAAATCCCCAGGAAAGTCACCTTTGATTAAGCTGGGAGAGTGGTCAGTACTTGTCAAGTTCATAATGAATGGTACGTGGGAGAACAGAAGACTGAGAGAGCAGCCGTGTCTGGAGTCCATGCCTGGATTGATGGGCTGTAGTGGGAAGCACTGTGGCTCAATCATAACCCACATCCCAGGACCAGTGTCCAGCTTTGCTCTCTCCATCCTCAAGCAACTTGCTTAATTGTCTCTGTAAAACTGGGCTAATAACAGTTCCTAGCTGACTGAGTTAAGGCAATCCTGGTAAAGGGCTCAGATCAGAGCTAGACCTGGGAGTATAAAGTATAACCTTAGAAAGAATCTGCATTGAGGTGTTGATGTGCCAAATGACACGCACCAATATACACAATCTATGTTTTCATTTTCCAGTTTAAAAAAAAATCTATTAAAAGCTATGGAATTTCATGAGTAAAAGTAATCAAATCACTCTAGATCCCATTACTTCTGTAATTATATTCTCAATATCAAATTAGTGATCTGCCCCTTTTTGAAATCAAAACTATATGAGATGAGGAAAGAAGTTTATCTCAAAGGGAAATTTGCAGACTTGAGCTAATACTAATTAAGCTCCTGGAATAATGCCTAGCACGTAACACAACAGCTCTAACGCCGCATGCGTTTTCTCATAAAAAAAATGATTAAGAGCATTTACTTGTCAGTGGTGGATGAGATTATATGGAGATCATATAAGAAATAAAGTCACTTCTAATTCCATCCCCAAATATTTCACTTTTTTCCTTTCTTTCATTTTTACTATACGCCATAGTAAAAATGGTGATCTGTGTTTTGCATTGATTTTTTCATCATTGTCATCATATTATTTATATAAGGGTTTTTCCTGCTAAATTTTCAATTAACATTTTACTGGAAACATACTGACATGTATTCCATTTGAAGTGTGAATGCTGGGAGGTCATTTCACAGTCAGCACAGAGTCTGGCCATGTGGTAGGAGACATTAACTTCTAAGATAGGCTCCATGTTTGAGTCTCAGCTCCTCACTTAACAAAGTTACCTTGAACAAGTTATTTTAGCTCTCTCCCTCACTGTCCTCATTTGTGAAATGGGAAATAAATAGCATTTACCTCCCAGGGTAATTTGCAGAATAAGTGACTTCCATTCATAAGCTTCTTAGAATAGTACCTAGTATATATAAGAAGCACCTGGTAAATATTGTGACGCACGCCTTTAATACCAGCACTGGGGAGGCAGAGGCAGGCGGATCTCTGTGAATTTGAAGCCAGCTGGTCTACAGAGCTAGTTCCAGGACAGGCTTCAAAGCTACACAGAGAAACCCTGTCTCGAAAATCCAAAAAGAAGAAAAAGATATGAAGCCTGACACCATTCTACTTAGCACAGGGTACAGATAAGGCTTAAAGACCATGAGGTGGGGAAATAAAGAGGCTGCTTCAGTTGCTAGGTCTCAGCAAAAACTCACCCCCCTTGCTGAGTAATGAAAGAGAAATGCAGAACATGGCTCAAATTTCTAGAAAAAGAAGCTCAGTGGAAGCTAAAGGAACCATATGTCTACTACATGAGTATGGTGAAGCTTCAAAAGGAGCAATGCCCATCTGCTTACAATTTTCTGGGTAACCATCTACCCAGCTGACCACAAAGGTAAGGTCTTTTGAGTTCAGAAATCTCTGAGAGACCTAACTGGTGCTTTGTAGGCAGTAGATGCTCAATTTTTATTTCCTCATCATGTTGAATTTGCCATTCAGAAAAGAGGACAGATGTCTCCAACAAACCTAGACTAAGATTTCTTTTAACAACTTCCATACAATTCAAAGAATGACAGACTATCTGTGTAGGATGTTGACTGCTATTCATAGATGGTGATTCTCAACCTTAGAGGCCACAACATCCTCTAAGAGCTTGCTGGATGGTTCTAATGCAAATCAGGTCCGAGAATCACTGATTTAGGTCAAAAGAAAGCTGAGACTGGGAGATGGAAAAAGGCTTCTGCTGACTCACACAAGGTTAGAGATGGAATTGAACTTTGAACCCAACCATCAACTGTGTCACCATCATAGCACTCTGCCTTCTAGATGAAAATTTAGTTGTTCATGTGATCTTTTTTCCCTAACAAGAGTTACTTTTAAATGGTCATCCCTGTAAAATGTGTGGGCTCTATAGCTGGCATCTGAAAACATCTTGGGGAAAATGAATATCTCTATGGAACACTTCCTTTGAATCACTTATTCCTGAGCCAATGCAGTGTGATATATGCAACATTTACACTGTACTTGGTATTTTAGGCAACCCGGATGTGATCGTAAGTATATTAAAAGAAGTATGTAAGTCAATGCAAATAGTTTTCCTTGTATATCAGATACTTGACCATGGTAGAAGGGTAAAGTGGGATCCACAGGAAATCCTATAACCAATCCCTGGCAATGCCTGGAATTTGCTTACTAAACATGATTGTCAATGTTGGAGTGAAAATAGTAATAACTATGATGACTCATGGCCTGAATCGCAGGTCTTGAAAAGTCATTGTGACCTCTACTTCCTTCAACAACTAAGAATGAAGTCTCTGTCTGAAAAAGATTGTGAGGCATTGTCAGGGAGGGGCCATATGGCAGGCCCCAAGGTGCCTCCTCCAGACAGTACCACTGTAATGACTCTCCTGTAGCTCAGAAGTCCAGCCTTGCCCACACCTGACTTATCACGGCATATAACTCACATGAGATTAATGACATCAATTCCATCCAAATGTGGTCCTGACAAGTACATCTTCTTCCTGGAGGAAAACCCCTGGAAGAAGCAGAAGTGGAAGTATAATCTGGACATCTGAGCAAGAGGCTGCAAAAGGACCTCAGACCTTGATGGTGAACAAAACTAGACAGTCCCATCACACCATATGAACACTTCCATTCTTTTTTAATTTTATTTAAATTAGAAACAATCTTGTTTTATGGTCAACCCCAGTTCCCTCTCCCTCCCATCCTCTCATGGCTCCCCACTGATCCATCATCCCATCCCCTTTCTGCTCCCCAGGGAGAGTGAGGCCTTCCATGGGAGATCTTCAAAGTCTGTCATATCATTTGGAGCAGGGCCTAGGCCCTCCCCCCATATGTCTAGGTTGAGGAAGTATCTCTTTGTGTAGAATGGACTCCCAAAGTCCATTTGTATACTAGGGATAAATACTGATCCACAACCAGAGGCCCCATATACTTCCCTGTCCTCCTAACACCCACGTTCAGGAGGTCTGGGTTGGTCCTATGCTGGTTTCCCAGCTAACAGACTGGGGTCCATTAGCTTCTCCTTGTTCAGGTCCACTGTTTCTATGGGTTTCTCCAGCCTGGTCTTGACCCCTTTACTTATCACTCCTTCCTCTTTGCAACTGGATTCCAGGAGTTTGGCTCAGTGTTTAACTGTGGGTAATACTTCCATCCATTCTTGAATAGATATGGAGGGTGGTCCTTGAAAACCTTCCTCTGTCTTCCCTTTCTTTGTATTTCTCTGTGCCAATGCTGTTCTTGGAACTGATTCTAGAGGAAATGGACTAGGCACAATATCAGCCTCACCCTCCACATGTTGATCCGGGTTCTGACATTGTAAAGGTGACCTTGTTTATCTTATTTTCAATACTCATGATTGCCTTCTGTGGTCTCT